CTTTAAAATATAGTTCTGCGCCTGGACCTGATGAGATTCCATCATGTATACTTGAAACATGCTCTGTCGAGCTATGTGGTGTTACTTCAATTTTTAATCAATCTTTGAAATCAAGTTTTTTCCCTTTGTGTTGGAAGAGCATTTTCCTTATTCCACTTTACAAATGTGAATATAGATTTAACGTAGAGAGCTAGCGTGGAGAGGTATCGCCAAGTTGAGTGTCTTATCTAAATTGTTTGAGCGAATTGTTACTAAGCGTCTAGTTTTTTCTATTAAATCTTCTCTTCCAGCATGGCTTTCAGAAAGGAAAATTTATTGCCACGAATCTTTAGAGTTTACTTGCCATGGTTTTAAGATTTTTTTAGTGGTTCTCACGCGGATATCGTACATACTGATTTTGGTAAAGCACTTGACTTAGTTAACCATAACTTATTGATGCTCAAACTTTATGCTTCGCTTTCCACTTAGTGAAATGGATACGCTTTTACCTGCGTAACAGATCACTCAAGGTTCCGTCTAACTTCCTCATCGTATCATATGAATTTAATACATTATTTATACATTAATAACCTCGTCTCGGTAGTACGAATACGTAATAGAATATGTGTTCGCAAAGTCTCCTCTTATAGAGCCTGCGGAGGATTCCTTGTGGGTGTAGCGTATTTTGCCCGACTGCAATGCGCTAATTCTTCATTCCTCTTGCCAAGTTAATCGCCTAAAAAAGTCCCTGATTAAATATTTGCGATTGAAACGCTGTTCGTATTGTTCAGATCAAGAATGATTCTTTCTTTATTTCTCATCTCTTATTTATACTTATTTTCTAGCTTCTTAGTTTTCTACTTATGTTTACGTACATCTTACTTAATTTTGTGATCAGCATAATTGTAAATTTACAATTTGGGGTGTTGGTACATACAATTCGAAGGGATTTGAAACTTGTCATAATTTCTTGTTTTATTTTATTAAGTTTTGCTTACTATTTTGATTGGTAACACACTTCAAGTGGACGCACACTTGCAACTGTATGCAGTCACACTACAACTCAGTTATTACTGTTATATTTTTTTTCTTTACCTCCCCTTGCGTAAATGACACTAGTTTTTAATATTAATTAGTACAAGATTTACTTCTAAGAGTCAATTGAATGCGACTGTTCATTTATTTTAGTTCAGTAATGTTCAAGTAAATAAAAAAAAGTAAAATAAAATAAATCCGTTTGGGAAAAAACATTCGTTTTCTTTCGTAAAAGCATTCAATTTCTGAGTTACATCTAAAGCAATGATTTCACATTTTACAGAGAGATGGTCGCATTTAAAATGATTCTCTTAATTTCTCTTCACATGCGTTTGTCATGCTTTCAATGATGACGACATCTTTATCCATAATTAATTTAAGATTTTTATTGTCTTGTCTAAGCGGGAAATCGGTAGATAATATTTCATTTATGGCAAAATATAACATAGTCAAAATATATTTTTTTGACCTCTGAAACACATACCCCAGCACTTTCGATTTATATATGCATATAACACCATTCAAATTTTGCGTTTATATTTTCAGCGGCTAAGTTTCATATTAAGCTACATTGGCTGCGCGTGTGTATAAATCCAATAAAACTTTTCTCGTTTAGCCGTACGTTTACTTCGAAGTACTTATCAAAATAATGGTCATTTTGGTCATTAGGAAGGGCAAGAGTTTCAAATAAAAGACAGTTATAGAAAAAGAAAAATTGCTGATAAAGAAAAAAGAGATACAGATTTTTGGAAATCTTGTAGCAATGGGAAAACACTGTTATTAGACAAATTTATAAAAAAGCTTTGTGTATATGCATAGCTAATACTGGGAGGTAATCATGCAGGCGACATTCACCAATAAAATCTAATCATCTAAGCAACTTTGCGGGTGATGGTCATTAAAAATGCTCACTGAAGACAATAAAATTGCTGTCGCTGAGAACAAATGTGCATTAGCATTGAATATAAATGAAGAAGAGTTATCACAAATCTCTCTTTTAAAGTGGCGTTTGTAGAAAAACGGCTGTAAAGAAAAAATATAAAGAGCTGTTAGAGAATCGATTTTTATTTTCTTTTGAAAATTCCAAATTTAAACTTGCGAATTTGTGTAAATTATGAACAAAAAGAAAAAACAGTTTGGTACAAGTGTAGTTAAAAGATTCAGAAATAAAACTTTGGGCGGTCTGAAACAATGGACAGTAATTGCAGACACTAAGGTTTAACCAAAAATTTGGTATTAAGTAAGTAATTGAATTTTGACAATAAACGACCAATATAATATTTTTCTATATATTACAGCGAATGAACGTCTTCATGGATGGTGTAAAATGAAGCAATTTTCATTAATGGGAAAGTAACACACACACCTAAACGGAATGGCAGTAAGTAATCTAAATATTAGTTTGGGGAAAAAGAAATCCATTATATGAATTTCAGGACTTTATTTAACATGCTTCGGATTGTCCGATTTGGGTCAAATATGCACCATTTTGTTGTATGATTTGTTGCCATTTTAAAGGTAACTTTAAAATGCCTCTCTCATAGAAGTCCTGGTCTCTATTTGCAAAAAACTCTAGTAGTCGATTTTCACAATCCTCCCTAGATTCCAATTTTTTATCATTAAAGAAATTTTGCAATGCAAGAAAAAGATGATAATCGCTTGGTGCTAAGTCCGGACTGTATGGCGGATGCATTAAAACTTCCCAACCAAGCTCCCGAAGTTTTTAGCGAGTCACTGTAGATGTGTGTGGCTTAGCGTTGTCCTGGTGGAAAACGACACCTCTCCTGTTGGCCAATTCTGGCCGTTTCTGGTCAATCGCTATCTTCAAACGGTCCAGTTGTTGACAGTGGAGATCAGAATTTAGCGTTTGGCCATATGGAAGCAACTCATAATAAATAATCCCCTTTCCGGTCCCACCAAATGCATAGCAAAACCTTCCTGGCCGTTTGAGGTGCTTCACCGCTCTTTGACAACGATCGTTTTCGCACAGGGTTATCGTATGTGATCCATTTCTCATTTTTAGTCACCATCCGTTTAAAAAATGGATCTATCTCAAGCCAAGGCCAAGGCTTCGCAGTTGGAAATTCGATCCATCATGTTTTTTTCTGTTAATTGGTGTGGCACCCAAACATCGAGCTTCTTTTTGAATCCAGCTTTGTGTAAATGGTTTAAAACTGTTTTATGGTCGATTTTTAGCTCCTGGGCGATGTTACGACTGCTAACTTCGATCATTTCTCCGATTTTATCGACATTTTCGACGACCGGCCTACCTGTGCGATGTGCATCTTTAAAATCAAAAATTCCTGAACGGAATCTACGAAACCAAAATTGCACATAATTGGCTGTTACAGTATCGGAACCATAAACACCATTCACAATTTTAACCGCCTGGCTTGCATTTTCGCCTTTGTCAAAGAAAAACTGTAAAATGTACCGAATTTTCTCTTTGTTCACTTCCATTTTTAACACGCTGTAACTCACAACTGAATGCACCAAACAAAAAACAGCAAAAGAATTTTTTTTACTGCGAAATGTCACCTTTCCAACGAGCATAAATCTGAAATTGTTTGATCGATACTCTACGAGAAATCTATCAGTGCAACCATCTACCGAAAAAATAATGGATTTCTTTTTCCCCAAACTAATATTTGTTTATTAGCAAGTAGTTTTTGTGTAAATATACGTAAGCATTTCTTTCTAGATGACCAGCATGAAAAGGAAATTATGGCAGTCAATTCCAAATTTTCTTCCCATGATTCCCATGGTTAATGATGCGCTCCAATGGATGAACTTACTGAAATACCAATTGACAGTAAGCTGTAAAGAAAAATTAATGCTCCAAAACCTACATCTTTCTAAGTTTTTTATCAGGTTATGGTGGATACCCCTAAAGCCTTGGCTGAAGACATCTTACTAAACTTCGGCGGACCCCCAAAAAAAGCTCAACGAAATCGATTGCAAGATGACCAACATTATGCAAAGATGCATTGTTGTATGTAAAGGTTAGCACTACAATATTTAGTATTTCGAAATTCTAATTATAGTTTTCCAACATTTCTCTAGGTCGGAGACATAAAGGAGGAGTAGAGGAGGCGCTACAAATCAAAGGCGCTGTGAAGACTCGGATAAGGTTGTATACCGTTACACAACATGTGCGTCCACTGTAAAGTGGAAGGAGATTATTTCAATACTCCGACTCCTGAAATATAAATAATTTTTAAGGTTATAACTCGCATAAAAGTTTACATAAAAATTAAACAAATATTTAAAGTATGACTTCCGATTTTGAATGAAAGACCTTTTTATATAATAGATCTTCTTCTTTAATAATCCGCAGCAGTTAAACGTAAATTTCTAGCAAAACGAGGATGTTCTTTTCAACATTCAAATTCATTTATCATATAATCTAACACAAATTTAATATAATTTTTTTTTCATTTCATTTTGCATACTTGTCAACGCGTACCATTACGAGTTTGTTTCTACAAATAGAACGACTTGGCTCTCATTTTTTATGCCTCAATTATTAGTGTATTGTAATGGAAAATTTGACGGGAAGCATTGGAAAGTTGGGGACAATGGTACCTGACTAGCCTCTTGGCGATAATGAATTGTCGGCCAAAAACGACAAGGCGACAATCGTCAGCTGACGTGATTACTTCTAATGTGAATAGGCGTAATAAAACAAAACGAAAAAATACGAAATTATTAAGAGTGAGTTTTCAAAGCAAGAAGAAGGCGGTTTAAAATCCACAAAAACCCATAAGATTTTTTAAATATATTATTGTTAATTTGTTATATTTGTTAAATATATTATTGGTCTTATTTTTTGATAAAAGACGCTTGTTAGAAAAGAAAGCGAACTGAAAGTCTACATGAAAACAACTACATACCCACGCTGTGTATATATGTAGTCGATTGCTCATATGTTACATATAGTGAGTATCATTAATATTGGGTTTTTTCGCTCGACAAAAAATAAACGAGTATTAAACCTAGACTTTTGTCTAAATATAACAATATATTTCACTATTTCGTACTACCAGGGAATACATTTTAATATGTATAAAAAACCAACCACTATTCCAGTAGATAAGACAATCGCGTCATCAATATTGGCTTTTTTTCATACCAGGAAATGTACGAAGAAAAACACAGAATATTATTAAAAGTTGATATTTTCTGGGGCATCCCTTTTGCTTAACAACGTCATATAAACGTTTTGACATATTTTGTATAAGTTTTCTTGTGTAGGAAACAGGGATATTACTCCACTCTTCTTGTAGTCTATTTTTCTGACCTTGGGCAGAAGAGATTGAGTATTCTCGCACATGGCGGACTATTTATCCCATATATTTTTGATGAGGCCATGCCTGGCCAAAGTACTTTACCCTTTTCCCAAATCACTAGTCTTGAATCCGGTGAAAAATATGTGATGAAATGGATGGTTCGTCCTATTACATTTGTGAATTGTGAACAAAGAAGAAATTTTGATGAAGGTAAGCAAATTTTTTTTTTTTTAAATCGAGCAAAATTAAGCAATGATCACCAGTCTGTACATTTCCAGCCCAATGTATCACAACTTTCTTTCGTGCGCGTTCATTGAAGAGGAGAACAATGACATCCGCGACCCTCTAGCGCCACGTCATAGCAAAGTAAATTTGGCATTGGTGAATAAAAAGGTTAATATTACAGTATTTAGTATTTCGAAAATTTAACTATAGCTTTTGATCATTTATATAGGTCGCTGGCGTATTCCACACGGAAAACGAAAGAGCTGCTATAGCCCAAAGAAGCTTCGAAGACTCGCAAAAGATGGTGTAGCTCTTTACCACATTTGCCTCCATTACAAAGTGACAGGAGATTATTTGAATTCTACAGCACTCCAGGCGATCTATAAAGATGATGGTGTTGAAGTTTGTGTGGAGGCACCATGATAGACGCAGTGGAGTCAACCAGTTAGAGGACGGCCGACACAATTTATAAATGTAACAATCTTAAAATATTAATAATTTTTAAACTTATAACTCGCACAAAAATTTATAAAGGTTAAATAAATACTGAAAGTAAAACTATTTATATATTGGATAATCTTTTTATTTGTTCTTGTATGATCATACAAGAAAAAGAAGAAAATTTGATATGACGATGACGTTTATATGAATTAATCAATAATAACATATTATAACACAACTGTTAAGCTTCATTTTTATTGAAAATCTCGTAATGCATTAATATGGAGCTGCGGCAACATTTTGTGCCGCCTGCCTAGTCCAGCTACATTTACAAAAATAAATTATGACTAATTTCCAACATATCGGGATCACTCATGTTGTGACGTCACATAACACTCCTATGGTCCGTCGGAATTGTTCCCCTATCCGTTGGTCTGTGTCTATGTATTTGTTGGTCCGTTAAGTCGCCGTCCTTACTTATCCCATCCTCACGAAACTTTCTCTTCTACTTCATAAATGTCATGAGGGACATCATTTTTTTTTATATATACATACAAATTTTTTTTTTTAAGTTTTCGTTTAATTTTGTTTAATTAATTACTCCTTTCGACAGATTTTTTACTTGGTGTGATTTTCTTCTTCCTTCCCTTCCTCACATGGCGCTTTCTTTGGTATACTGCAGCACATGTATTCCTCCCGAGGTGCAAAAAAAAAAAATCAGACTGTTCACTCCTTGTTTTTTTTTTACTATGATTTGTTCTCTTCTAGACTACCATTAAACCCAATTTCTTGATGTTCACATATTTCTATCGATAATAGTTTGGTATTACTTTTGTGTATAAATTTAGCACAATATTACAGTAAATTATCAAGAATTCATGAAATATTTAAAAGTTTTAGGTCGACATTTGTGTATGTACGTATATGCGAATTAAAATTTTGTTTTTTTTTGTTTTATAACTTTCAGAGACCTTTACCTCCATTATCTTGTCAACGACTCTTTTTGCCAATGAAAAACTTTTTTCTCTTTAACTGGAAAAAATAATTAATTCATTTCTCCATTTAAACATACTTGACTTCATCGAGATTCTGTATCAGACTCCCCGTTTAAATATTAAATATATAAATAAGTGAAAAAATAATGCTTTCGGTTATTCGGAAATACCGTTGGAATTTAGTTACTCTTGCGTTCGGATTATACACACGTCATGGATGGCTATGCAAATTTTCCAATATCCAAGGGGAAGTGTCTTCCCCTAAATAACACGCAGACCTGTGATAATTTTGGACCTTCAAAGTAGCTGATTGATTATTGCAGAAGTCTGCGTGACGATGCATACCCCTGCTATGTGCAGTGGAAAGATTCCCGTTGTCTGACTCTCCGCTGAGCAATTATTTCTGCACTAGGAACAAAATAGTCTCACTCAATCTTGGCTTTGCTTATGTCATTGTCAAAAAACATCGTTGGGCCGGCAGCGCGAGGGAAAATAGGAGTGGATACATAAGCGTGTATTTCTAGGAGGTAGTCTTTTGTTCTCCATTGACTTCGCTTCCATCGTATTCATTGGAGAACGAAGTATTTGCCACTTTTTCTTTTTAGAATACTATTTGGACTGGAAGAGACTTGGCTTGATCAAGGACTTGTCAAAGTAGAAAACGCTTAGTGTGAACACGAAGCCTGAGCTTTAATGAAAATTACGATTAGTTTGGGTAACTAACTGATATCCACTACTTTACTTACTTGATTTTAAATATAATTATTATTTTGTGAGTGTTTTCACGTCCGTTTTTACATATCGTGGAGGTTAATATTTATTTTATACATTCTGCTGTAATTTACCTCTTACGTTACAGTTTAATTTTTTTCTTTTTTTTTCTTTGTGTCGTGTTCTTTGGTCTAATTTTTACAATAAAAAAGTGATAGTGATATTTGTAGACGTTCAATGCATAATTGTATGTTGAAATTACTAGTAGGTGAAATAAATGTAGAGTTTTTGGCAAGGATGACGAACAAAGCATATATGTTGGGCTTACGCCGATAGCTTTAAGCAGCGTAAAACGGCTTTGCCCTGAGCGAGCCCTGAACATGGCGGACCGTTTTGTGTTAGAATGTAAAACTAAAAAGAAGTCGTTGAATGAAAAGGGGTCGATATTGTTGATATCTGAGGAAGAGCAGGAAAAACAAATGAGTTCCCAACAGATAAGTGGATTTTCAGATAATTTTTATTGTTATTGTCAAATTGGAAATTTAGAAGCCACCGCACCCCACTGCTTTTGCTTCCCATCACAATATCACAATTAATCACTTCTTACAACATGATTGCATATTTGCGAAATGGCTTCGTTGAAACTAATTGAATTGCATTGACTTGAATTTCCGCTAAAACGGCTAAGAACCGTCATCTGATTTTTCCTTTTACATCGCTTCTTAAACAGAATTCCCTTATGTTCAGAATGGAGAGAGCACAGAAACGCACAGAGTTGCTTTCAAAAAATGCAAATCCTCGACCATGAAAAACTTCCCCGACCATGAAAAATTTTCCCGACAATGCAAACATCCCCGACCATGAGAAATAATGTATATGATTTGTCAGAACGGTACAGTTTTTTGAATTTCGCCCTCACTGTGCGACAATATTAAATTTGGTAAATTATAAATATCCCCGACCATAAATTCCCAGACCATAAATATCCCTTCAAAGATGCAGAAATTCGTAGTATTTTTATTATTGATGAAACTAAAAAGCTTAATTGGAATGGTCTTATGAAATCATCCAAATCGGTTAATTGCAGTGCTCCAGTAAAATCTAACATTTTTTTCAATGTATTTTTTGAAAACTAAGTCCTTTTAGTATTTTTTATTTCCTTCTAACATCAACTAAAGCAATACAATCCATAGGTCAGCGTCCATCCAAAGAGCGTCACTATACGGTTGTCATAGAAGTTCGAGCATCTAGAAAAAGATTTTTGGGTTGTTGAGTGGTGATGGACTAAGCCAATATATTTCAATTTCGTAAGAAAAAAAATGGACTTATGTACGCTACATCCCACTATTTTTCAAATATGTAAAAACACTATGAGACCATTCAGGGAGGCCTTTCTCTTACAAGTTAGTCTTCAGAATGAGCTCATCGCTGTTCAAGAATCTTACACCTAGACCTACGCTATCTCGTTAGCCTTGGCAACTGTGCATTTCGTGGTCTAGCAGAGAAGAGTTTGTAATTATACAGAATTGTTTTGCGAAGTATTTCTCCGAAAATTCAATTTTTCATATCTATGAGATTGCCGTCCATAAATAATCCTGCGGATTTCCTAGTGAACCAAAATTAAAACAACTGCGTTCGAGCAACCATCGGTTTCTACAGACGTTGCCCTCTCGTTACATAATGAGAGTCCCACTTTTCTACCCCTCGGCCTGTTGATCACGAATTTGAACAAGAGCAGAACTCATTACTTACCCGATATCTGGGCATCTCAGCTCTACCTTCACTTTTATCCGGAGCGAGCATGAAAGTGAAGGAGGTTATAAATTTTACACCACTCACACTTATATCGCCTGAACCAAGTTTTTAGATTTCATTATTCTGCACTTGATTTGATTGATTTCGAACTTTTTGATGGTTAACAATAATTATTCCTCCCGGTGCAGTTGCGGGACGCGCCATTTAAATTTATGCTTACTTTGGTCGCTTTCGCTGAAACCTTTAAATTAGGCGATTCCACGGAACAGTAGGAATCCTCTTGTCAAGGGAGCGATGGTTCATCCCACAAATGAACGGCCAATAATTCGGTGTTCTTTTCGGAAGAACATTGTTAATGCTCACTTGGTTGGTTCTGTAGGTTTTGAAACAAGGGTAATTAACTTGGCTCATACACTTCCGTTAAGAATTGTTCAGGATATATCGCTCATTAAATTGATTGATTTCGCCGTAGCGTTCATACGTAGCTTTCCATATCTGCAATTTCTTCTTTTTTGTTTGTTAATGCAATTTTTTAATTCCTAAATACGCATTTCTCTTCGGTTGTTATTGATTACTCAACCATCACCTTTCCTTCGTAGGACTGCGGTGACTGGTATCCCTGGAATTTCTCAGTTTTTTCCTTTTACGACCTTTGAATATTTTTGAAATACTTCCAAGCGCAGCTGGTGGTTAATTTTTACGTGGATTTTACTTTTTTTCCTTTATATATATATATTAAAAATCTCGAGCTTCCAAGCTCTTAACAAAACATTCCACGAGATTCCAGTTTACCGTGTGATATCGGACTTGAATTTTTTCTTACATAGTCAGTTTTCGTAGGAATGTTAGTGTCTTTGTTTGCTTTCATTAAATCAAATGCAATATTAATCCAAGATATTTTTACAAGAAATAAAATGTATTCATTACATCTTCAAACGCTTTATAGAAAGTTTTTAAATGTTTTTTTCCAACAAGTCATTCCCGCCTTGCTTTCTTTCTTTTAGTGAAGTTGACACTGCCCCAAAGCCGATTTTCATCTTCTTTTCTCTTTGTTTTCTGATTTTCACCCAAGTTCGCGTTATTACGTTTAACCAATCGAAGCTGATCAATATTTAGAGTGCAGCACCTCTTGCTTTGCATTTAAACACATTTTTAACAATTACCTTCACTCGTTGGTCTCGCACGCACAACTGCTGCTGCCCTATCTGTTGAAAACGCACACAAACGGTTACTGCTTAGAGGCCTTAGAGGCATCAAGCGTATTCCACGAAAGAATGTTCCAAAAAAGTTCTTCATAACCTTTTTTGACAATTGCAGCTGAATAAGTAAATCAACTTGTCGCACTTAATCCGAACAAGGGGTGAGCGAAATTTTTGAAGCAGTTTTTTTTTCGCTCTTTCAATTCTTTCTCAATTGTCATTAAATTGAGACAACCTGTTGCATTGAAAAAGCGAGTCTGAATTTGGTGACAATTGAGAAAGAACTGAAAGAGCGAGTCTGAATTTGGTGACAACCTGTTGCATTGAAAAAACGAGTCCGAATTTGGTAACAATTGAGAAGGATTGAA